GCTGCTCCCGGCTTCTCCTCCTGCCCCCGCGGCGTCTGGGTCTCTGCCTCGCTGCTTTGTCCCGCGGCCCAGGAAACAATGTATTCTCTGGTTGACAAGCCATAAATGCGCAGTCAAGATCAGGACAACTTTGGGTGGATGATTAAGGGGAAAAACAAATTTTCATTTTTTAAATTCCAATTAAATACATATATAGAGTGTATAAATTAGCTTTTTAACATTCGTAGACTTTTCGGGAGGTTCATCAAGATTTTCACTTCTGTTTGTTTATGTAGTTTAGGTCAATGGCTCTCAGCTTTTGCAGAGTACTGTACTCCTTTCATTCATCTGATTTGCATGCCCCCAAATTTCACTGCACTCAACTATTTGTGTACATAATCATGCATGAACACAGAAGTGTCACAGCACACAGTTAAAATTGCTTATTACTCAACCTATAATTATAAAATAAATCTATTAGAATATAAATATTGTCCTAAAATCTCAGTATAGTATGTATGGAAGTATAAACAAAACAGTGTATGCCATTTTAGTTTGCACAGATTTTTCTAATGCCTGTTATGTAGCCTGTTGTAAATTAGGCAAACTTGTAGATGAGTTGATGTACCCATAGAACACATCTGCATTCCCCCAAAGGTTTATGTACCTCTGGTTGAGAATGAATGAGCTAGTTCTTTACGTAAATCCATTTGTAGTTAGGAAACCAATTGGGAATTGAAAAAACAGGAAAGTTTGTTTTCTTCTATTTGTGAATAAAAAGGTGAGAGAGCTTACCTGTTCTAAAATCTTGAAGAACAACATGGTGATTAGAAAAAATCAGTTAAATTCATTAACTATATATAAGATTTCTTTTCTTGAATAAGTTTTAGATGAAAGACATGTTTTCATAATTTTTGATAAATCTTTTAATGCATCCACTCCAGCAAATGTAATTTTATTTAATTAAAAAAACTATTTAAAAATTTTCTGTGCATTGAATATTAAGTCCAGTATCTAGATAGAGCTTGAAAGAAATCACAAGTAAAATATTAATTGTCATTCAACAGGCTCCACGCTGCACTGCCACTTTGAAGCATCCTTTCCACCTCCTTGCTGCCTCTTTCTCAGTGGTGAAGGGACTAGCTGACTAGCCTGTCAACTGTCCAATAAGTATTTGCTTATCGGGTAGTTGACTAGACTTCACATCCCTGATGGGCAGCCTGGCTGAGGGTAGCGGATAGAGGGGACCAGCTGGCTTGGGGCCAGTGGCAGGGAACACCTCCCCTATTCTGAAAAATTTTCTCATTCAGGACTGGTCAGGTCCCAACATTGCCGGACCAGGGAGATTCAACCTGTATACTTAAACTCCTAATTGTCCTTAGTCTTGCTTCCCTCATTAACTTTGATTTTATGCGTATTATTATCTATGTTTCCCTTTCTTCATTTGTTATATATTGCTTTTTTATTTCTAACTGTGTGTTGTGAATCAACATTTACTGGCATTTACTGATAAATGTAATACTTCAACCCTAAAAATATGCTTTAGTCAAACACAGGTTATTGGGCACAATGCAGGGATAACATAATGAAATTTAGTGGCCTGTGATGTATATAGAAGGTCAGACTAGTTGGCTACGTCTACATTGGCCCCTTTTCCGAAAGGGGCATGCTAATTTGACAGGTCGTAATAGGGAAATCCGCGGGGGATTTAAATATCCCCCGCGGCATTTAAATAAAAATGTCCGCCGCTTTTAAATATCCCCGCGGCATTTAAATAAAAATGTCCGTCGCTTTTTTCCGGCTTTTAGAAAAGCCGGAAAAGAGCGTCTACACTGGCCCCGATCCTCCGGAAAAAAGCCCTTTTCCGGAGATCTCTTATTCCTACTTCAAAGGGCTTTTTTCCGGAGGATCGGGGCCAGTGTAGACGCTCTTTTCCGGCTTTTCTAAAAGCCGGAAAAAAGCGACGGACATTTTTATTTAAATGCCGCGGGGATATTTAAATCCCCCGCGGATTTCCCTATTATGACCTGTCAAATTAGCATGCCCCTTTCGGAAAAGGGGCCAATGTAGAGGTAGCCGTTGAGTTAATGGCCCCTTTTGTCTTTAAAAATCTGTGAAACTGTAATTCACACCTCGTCTCTTATCTAATATATTTTCTAAAGTGTAGTGGGTCACTGGTACAAAAGCCAAAGTGGAAACAAAATCCCAGTCCTTGGAAGCTTGTAGCATTTTTTATTTTTTTGCAGCAGGTGGACATCTCCCCTTTTCCTCTCCAACTTCTGAAAGAGTTCCAGTGCCCCTTAGAAGCTGGCCTAAGAATGACATGATCCAAGAGTAATGTGGGGGTGAAATAAAATGTATATGAATGTACATGCAGCTTTCATTTGGAGACAATTATGCTACAATCCAATTGAAACAGGTAGAAGGATCCTGTGTGTGGCATTCAAATGGTTTGAGCAGTATAACGTTCTTCGACCCTCAGAGAATAGAAGATAGCTTGTAGAATTGGATAAAAGCCATTGTAGTTCAGTATATCTAATTATAAAATGCTCTATATACAGCAGGGGTGGGCAATAATTTTTGACCGGGGGCCACTTCAGAAATTTTTGAAGTGGTCCCAGGCCACCCTGGAAGGGGCAGAGACTGATGCAGAAGGTGTGGGGCCAGAACACTTGTGTGCTTCCCCACCCACAGACCCTGATTGGTCTTGGGGTGGGGGAGCGTGCAGAGTCTCCGAGAGAACCACTAGCTGTTCTGAGCAGCTGGTGGTTCCCTCTAAGCACCTGTGCCCCTGGCAGTGGGAGGAGACTTTGCATGGGGGCAGAGGTTGCCCTGGGGGTAGAGGGAGTGGCAGGGCTTCCTTGGGCCGGATCAACTTGCTTGGTGGACAAGATCTGGCCCGTAGAGGTCTTTTTGCCTACGCTGGTATACAGCCTAATATATTGTCTGTCTTGGTTTCTGAGACATTGGCAGGTGTTTGAGGGGAAAAGATAATGCCCAAAGGAAAATTGTGGAATATAGTCTAATCCCAATATACCAGCTCAATGTGGCTTTGGTAGATATTGCTCAATCACTGAATGTCATTTTTATAGAGATATTTGTACATTTTAATAGACGGTATATAGCCAATTATTGAACTCATAAATTGTCAATTTTGTAAACATGAATAACTCAACTAATTTTTAAAAGCTGTGTTTATGCGGTCATTCACATTTGTCTTTGTTGACCAAAAGGAAATAATCTGTTATGATGTCATACCACAATTCTGTGTATTTGGCAAATATATTTATAGCAAAGGTTTTTAAGCACGAAACAGAATTAAAAAGAAAAAAACTGTACTCTCAGGCTAATTGTTGTTTATTCAGTAATGTCCTAGAGAAAAGAAAAAAACATGATGCCCAAATCAAACCTGGAACCACTTTTTTTCTTATTTATAGAAGATGTTTCTAAGACTTTACCCAGACAAAAATTTATCTATATGTAAAAGTTATTGAGAGCTGGAAACATTAACTCATTTTCTGGCTGAAAAATGTATTCCTCATGTTAAGACATGCACACTGTACAGATGGTATTGCTCATAGACTTTGAATTTATTAGGTGAATTAGGGCAGATACTTTATGAATTTAGCACTTATTTTAGAGAAATATCTTTTATGTGGAGCAACTAGCTTGGTCATTTTGGCAGGGACAGAAGAATCGAGGAGAAACAAAAGCCATGCAAGAAGAGAAGGAGAAAGCATAGAGAACATAAGGGACAGGAAAAGGTGGAAGGCTAGAAAAGAAGGACATAGACCAGGAGGGGGGAACTTCGGGCCCCGGCTTGCGTGGATCCAGCCCCTGAGCCTCAGGGCTCCTCTCCAGAATTGGGGAGCCCGTGCTGGCATGCCAGCTACCCAACCCCTCACTGCCCCCAACATGGGGCTGTAGCGCACAGCATATACTAGCCTTGGCTTTCCTAGGCTCTGGTGTGTGAGTTGAATGTGGGAAGTGTCTTTCTCCTCAGGGGCCACATTAGTGAGGTTTTATTTTGTTTGTTTGTTTGTTTGTTTGTTTGTTTGCTTCTGACTTGCATGTGGCCTTCAACTGATTTTTCTGAGGGTCAGTGGCCCCGGACCCACACAGGGTCCTCACCCCTGGCATAGACAGAAGAAGCTAGAACAACCTCAAGAACGGATATGGCTCTGGTTTGTAGGGTTGTTCCCTTCCCTGCCACCGTATGAAGGGCTAGACCCAAATGGAGGATGGAAAGAAAAAAGCCAGAATAAAATCTAAAGGATGGAAATAGGGATGGCAAAATTTAAATGACATGATGCATGTAGCATTTAAATAATATTTATGTATGTAAGATCTCTTTCTCCATTTCACTGTGTAGTCCCCTGGAGAACACCCAAAATTCTGTCAGAACAAATTCTACTTTGACGCACAAGTATAAATAATTAATTATAAGTGACTTGGAAAATGTGAATGAATAGCTCAATAAATTTGGAGTGGGAAGCAAGGTGATTGCAAAATGTTGATTAGGAAACTTGAGTCAAATTATTGCCTAATACTAGACATATCTCAGTGGTCTCCAACCTTCTTAAGTGCAAGATCACTTTTTCAATTTAAGTCAATTCAGGATTTGCCTCAACCCAAGTTCCCTTGTCCTACTTCCTTCCCTACCCCTTCTTTGAGGCCCTGCCCCACCACAGCCCTTCTCCAAGACCCCACCCTTCACATTCTGAGGAGGTGGGAGGAAGGGAAGACCCTGACATCAGTAGCCCCACTCTTCTGCCTCTCCCACCTTGAACAGCATACTAAAGCCCCCTGGAGGGCAGCAGTGGAGGGAAGGGCAACTGAATGCTCTGCCTCCAAGCCAAACCAGTCAGGATCACCTGTCACAGGCTCCAAGATCTACCAGTAGATCTCGACCTACTGGTTGGTAACCACTGACATAACTAGATTGACAAAGCAGGTATTTTAAAAAATTTGTTACCTCACCTCCCATCCCTTTTTCTACCCCAATTTTTCTTTACAAGACTAAAATGTGTTGTGCAGATGTTTGCCAGAAGCTGGGAATGGGTGCTGGGAATCGGTGACGGGAATAGATCACTTGATTATGTGTTCTGCTAATTCTCTCTGAGGCAACTGGCATTGGCCACACTTGGAATATAGGATACTGGGCTCCATCTTTTAGAGGTGTTAATCTTAATCATTCCATTGTGACAATCTGTCAAGAAATGTGTACGACAGACCAAATAATTCATCAGAAGTAGAGTAGAAGCAGACCATTAAGCATAAATTATCACAAATCAGCTGTCATTTTGGACAGCTTTTGGTTGTGATATTTATCATTGGGTTTGGCATGATTTATAAAGTATTCTTCTCCCTTCGCATTCATGTGAAAAATTCAGTTTTTTAGAGAGAAACCCTCCTTTTTAAAGTCTTGGAATTTTGTACATAATACCAATTGCATTGCTGAGCATTTGATTAATGTACAGGCAGTCCCCGAGTTACGCGGATCCGACTTATGTCGGATCCGTAGTTACGAACGGGGATTCTCACCCCGGAGAACTAGAGCAGCGGGACGCCTGGTCCCGCCGGCCGCCTTCTCCGGAGCGAGAAAAGTTGCTCCCCGTCTCCCTGGTCTGCTGGCGGAGCAAAACGGCGGAGCACCGGGGGCCGGACCCGCGGGCGCTTCCAGATCAGCTGGAAGCGGCGTGGGTCCTGCCGGGTGCTCT